AGGGAAAGAAAAATAACAGTGTATGCATTTGTAAGTTGTAGGAATGCAAATAGATATCTACCAGTGATCTGTGAAGCTGTTCACATGGTGATGTGTGGCATTGCATTCTGCTAAAGCCAAATGACATGGTCTGTTCGAGCCTGAAAGAGACAAGTGTCATTACAAAGCATGGAGTAGAACAAAATAACTTTTTGGGGGTAACAAAGGCTACTGTACATGGGCACTCTCTCCTCTAAGCAAAAAGAGGCTTTTACAAAGCTGTTAAGTATTTTCATCACTTCCAGCTTGATACGCAGCACATCCAGAAGTATCTATTTCATAACGTGTGAGCAGAGTAGAAGCCGAATGCCCTTGCACTATAAACACTGTTCCAGAAATGTGTTTATATGCAATTCTGCTTTTGTTCATTAATATGATACAGGAAATACAGCAGTAAAGTCTGAAGAGTGGGGTGGGAATATGTGTCTTTGGTGGAAGCAGGGGTTGTCTGTTGCAAATAAGCTTACTCACACCAAGGAGAGCGTGAATAGCAACCCACCAGGTCAGTGTCAGTTCAGCTTTTATTTTCCTGATAACGCACTCATGTGTTTACTTTTCCAATTACACTAACGTGGAACATTTTTTTGGAATGATGCCTCTTCCTCTGGGGTATTTTTTTTTTCCTTTCTTGACAAGAAACTCTCAGTAGTCATCTATAGCCCAGTAAAGTCTATAGACCTTGCAGTAACTTTGCGAGGTCTCAGAACTGAGGCAAGCTTGCCAGGCCTTGTGTGGGGTCTTCTTGGCTGGCCTGGGGCTTTGCTTTAGTTAATTTAGTTGTAATAACAATTCTTCCAATGATCAGGTGGCTGTTTCCTAATTTGTTTTAATTTTGCTTATCTTTGTACAGTCACAGAATAGCCATAATTTTATACTTTATAGTTTTAAAGTATTTTATACCTTAGCCATAATTTTTTATTCTATCATATAGTTACTCAGCAACAAATGCAAAGTTTAAGACCCTACCATAATGGTGTCATTATTATGTCATTATATGCAGACTTGGCAGAGGCCTTGGGAATGGGGAGATGGCATAGAGGTGTAGAGGTGTGGGGTGGTACGAGAGAGGGAAGAGAACGGCGCTGGAGACCCCAGGGCTAAAAAAACCTTACTGCTGTCAGCTCAAGAGGCACAGACCTGGGACCTGAGCACCATTAGCCACAGGAGCAACAAGCAACAGGTATCTTATCTACCAAGCGTAAAATACACTATACAGAATAAATTGGGACACAACACGAGCTCCAGACCAAT